CCCTACAACCACAATTAGGTGAGTACACACAGTAGCTTTGATGACTGGAGGACAGACCATATAATGACTGGAGGACAGACAGTATAATGACTAGAGGATAGACAATATAATGACTGGAGGACAGACAAAATAATGACTGGAGGATAGACAATATAATGACTGGAGGACAGACAATGTAATGACTGGAGGATAGACAATATAATGATTGGAGGACAGACAATATAATGACTGGAGGACAGACAATATAATGACTGGAGGACAGACAATATAATGACTGGAGGATAGACAATATAATGACTGGAGGACAGACAAAATAATGACTGGAGGACAGACAATATAATGACTCTTGGACAGACAATATAATGACTGGAGGACAGACAATATAATGACTGGAGGACAGACAATATAATGACTGGAAGACAGACAATATAATGACTGGAGGACAGACAATATAATGACTGGAGGACAGACAATATAATGACTGGAAGACAGACTATATAATGATGACTGGGGGACAGACAATATAATGATTGGAGGAGAGACAATACAATGACTGGAGGACAGACAATGTAATGACTGGGGGACAGACAATGTAATGACTGGAGGACAGACAATATAATGACTGGAGGACAGACAATACAATGACTGAAGGACAGACAATATAATGACTGGAGGATAGACAAGTGGACAAGATTCTAATGCTGTCATTATTCATGTGAGAGATTTTAACCATCCAGTTGAGCTTCAAAAGTCTGAGAAAGTTACATCAACCAGGTTGATGGTCGAGAGAAATATAATAGAATCAACTTCCATAAAAAAAAAATCTTGAAAATAATATGAATATTAATTTAGGATTATACAAACTGGATTATTTTATAAATAATAAAACTTGGTAAGACTTCATGATATATTAGACAAGTTAAATCGTAAAGTTTGAGTAGAATACAAGCTGTGTTTCACAGCTTCTTGACTACCTACTGACATCATTATTAAAAGGTCAGGTGTTGTAAGAGAACCGCGAGGTGTAATCTCGTCTATATATGCCTTTCTGTTAAAATTTTTTACAGTTCCTGGATAATGTGAGAAATCACGAAAGCTGTTGGAATTTCACTATTTTTTCACAGTGGTTTTTCTGCATAAATTTTATATATTATATATATTATATATATATATATATATATAATATATATGTGTGTGTGTGTGTGTGTGTGTGTGTGTGTGTGTGTGTGTGTGTGTGTGTGTGTGTGTGTGTGTGGTGTGTGTGTGCGTGTGTGTGTCACAGCAGAAGGGAAGTATGCCAGACATGAGGAGGTCAATAACATCATAAAAGAAAGCCTCGCCACAGCCGTTGCCCGCTCACGGGAACCTCAGTACAGAGGTTGATGGAAGTAAAAAAGCGTCCTGGAAGGATGGAAAAGCAGATTGCCTGGGATTACACCTGTGCCGCCACATTGGCAGACACCCTACTTGCCATACTCCGTAGGGGAAAGGGGGTGGAGCTGCCGCCACAGGGAGACCCAGAAGATCCGAAAATATGAAGACCTTCCCCTTACTAAACTTCATTCCAATGGGGTCGGGACCCTTGGGCATGGGGAAAGTGTGCTCTAAATTCCTCAAAGAGCGGGAAAAAAGCTCACTAGAAACCCAAGGACCACGGGGCACCAGCTTCCCTCTTTCAGAGACTCGGGTTTTGCGACCAGAGGAAATGCCTGCAGCTTTCTGGCACGGGCCCCCCGGGGGGAGCTGGACGAAGTATTCGAGAGTGGCTTGATTCCCTATGTTTTTTTACTTTTTGTTGTATTTTTGGATTTTTTGGGCCAATTTTTTGTTTTTAAAAATAAAACATACTTGAAATATGGGGGGGGTTAGGAGAAAATTCTAAAAACAGCTTCAGGGAGAACCTTGACTTTCCCTGAACGTTTATTCTTTTCTCTGGGATGAAGGCCCCTAGGACTTCAGAGGTAGTTCAACTTTTTTCAACCCCCGGCCTTACCCCACCGAGGCGGGGTGGCCCAAAAAAAACAAATTTTTCCCTTTTCATTTAGTAAAACATACGGAGAAGGGGGTTATACCCCTTGCCCCCGGCATTTTAGTCGCCTCTAAACACCGGCTTACGGAAAAAGAATTCTTTCCCATTTCCCCAGGAGTAAGAGGAAATAAAAAAGAACAAGAACTAGAAGAAAAAAAAAGAAAACCCAGGGGGGTGTTGTTTTTAATATGCTTGTACATGTATGTGAGTGGACCTAAGTGAAAAGTAGAAGAAGCAAGATCCCTAAACCTTTTGATTTTTATGAACAGAAAAATGGACACCAGCAATCCTACCACATGTAAAAAATTACGGGTTTTCGTTTTCACCATTTGGCGGGGACGGTAGTCCCTCCATATATATAATATATAATATAATTTTTATATATTATATATAAATTTTATATATATATAATATAATTTATATTATATTTAATTTATATATGCAAGGAATTCGCAAAGGGCACGAAAAAACCAAAAAACTGATCTCGGCTGAAAGGGGACCGAACCCACGTACCTTGGGAACAAGGTACGCAGGCTATACCAAACTCACCCCTGGACCAATACCTTGGAGTCCCGCTGCGCTAGACTTTTTCAAAGTTAGTTTTAGTTGATATCGAATTTTTTTTAAAATTTAAAATCGGTGATTCCCAATTATCCGTCTTAATTTAACTTTGTCATAACTTGTATTTTTCTTTAAATGTTTTGTTTAAATTTGTTTTTGTTTTTATACTCTGGTTAAAAAAATTCATAGTGACTTCTTTAACTGGCCCCTTTTTTGGTCTGGGGGGTACCCCTATTAGGTTGCGGGGGGCGAGTCAAGCTCCTGGCCCCCCCTCTTCATGATCGTCTAGGGCATCTCCTGAGCCCTGAGCTTTTTCATACCCTCTTTAAAACTATTATGGGTTCCCCCTACATCGCTTCCCAAACTATTTCCCCTTTTGACTATCGTGGCTGAAAAAATATTCCTAACATCCCCGTATTCATCTGTGTCTTCAAATTCCCAAAGTGTCCCCTTGTTTCTGTGTCCAAAACTCTGGAACATCCTGTCTTTGTCCACCTTTCAATTTTCATATTTGTATTCGTTATCATGTCCCCCCTATCCTCCTGTCCTCCAGGTCGTCAGGTTGATTTTCCCTTAACCTCTCCTCGTGACTATCTCTTAGCTCTGGGGGCTAGTCTTGTTGAAACCTTTGCACTTTCCTTCTTTCTTCACTGCTTGGCTTGGGGGGGTTTTAAACTGGTGCCGCATACTCAAATAGGCCTAACGCACGGTGTACAGGGCCTGAAGATTTTCCTTTTTAAGGTCGGAATTGTTCTGAGGTTTGCTAGGCCCCATATGCTGCAGCAGTTATTTGGTTGATGTGCGCTTCAGGAGATGTGCCTGGTGTTATACTCACCCCAAGATCTTTTTCCTTGAGTGAGGTTTGTAGTGTCTGGCCCCCTAGACTGTACTCCGTCTGCGGTCTTCTTTGCCCTTCCCCAATCTTCATGACTTTGCACTTGGTGGGATTGAACTCCAGGAGCCAATTGCTGGACCAGGTCTGCAGCCTGTCCAGATCCCTTTGTAGTTCTGCCTGGTCTTCGATCGAGTGAATTCTTCTCATCAACTTCACGTCATCTGCAAACAGGGACACCTCAGAGTCTATTCCTTCCGTCCTTCCGTGTGTGTGTGTGTGTGTGTGTGTGTGTGTGTGTGTGTGTGTGTGTGTGTGTGTGTGTGTGTGTGTGTGTGTGTGTGTGTGTGTGTGTGTGTGTGTGTAAAATTTTCTCTTATACGTTTAAAGATATAATTTTTTTATTTATGCTAATGTAAAAATTAATAATTTTGTACCAAAATAACCTTAGAAAACTTACCTAACCTTATTATAACAAGTGCAGTTTAATTTAGCCTAATCCAACTAAATGAATTTTAGATAAGTTTCTTTAATAATAAACAAACACAATGAAATACATTTTCTTCGTTAGGTTCACAATGATTTTTACGAAATCATTGCATACACAAGTCAAAATCGCAAATTTTACCTATTCGGCAGGATATATATATATATATATATATATATATATATATATATATATATATATATATATATATATATATATATATATATATATATATATATATATATATATATATAATATATACAAAAACCATCCATTTTCTACATAAGTGTTTAAGTAAATATATTAACATACGTTCTTCAAATTAGGTTAGGTTTGTTTGGTTAGGTTAAGCCAAGTTAGATTTAGTTAAATTAGGTTGGGTAAACTTTAGTTTAGTTTGAATAGGTTAGCATAGTTTAGGTTTAACTTGGCTAGGATAGGTAGGTTAGGTTAGATTGTTGTTTATAAACAAAATTTAGCCAATTATAACATATGTTACACTAATAAACACATTAATACATAAATTCCCTTGAGTGTTAACACTTGTAGACAAAAGAGAGACAGAGCCGCCCAACACACGAGACAATAACCACAAAATCAAGTTTTCTTAACAGTATCAGTCACATATTTGACGTTCTTAACCGAAGTGAAATACTGATTAGTAGGATGGAGTGAACATTGGCAGCAATTACTAAATGGTACCTAAAACACATTTTAAAGAGAGGAAAATATTGAAATTCAGTTTCGTTATGTGAGTTTATAATGTTTAGCGATGATGCACCTCAAGTTGTAGGTACATGAAGCAGTAGTTGTCTCAACACTGATAACACTCAAACTATTTATAAAATAATATTGCCTAACTTAAATTATACACGACAAAGGAAAAAAATATTACAGAGTTTTGCATCAGAATAAGAATCTCACCATAAAAACAAAGTTGAAAGTTTTATAATAATAATAATAATAATAATAATAATAATAATAATAATAATAATAATAATAATAATAATAATAATAATAATAATAATAAGGGAAATATAAAAAATGTTTAAATGAATTTTACAAAAAAGTTGGGGTATAATTAAAAGATCTTTCTGCTACGAAAAATACCTTCTCTACATCATAAATATTATGATTTTTGCATCTGTAGCGACTCACTCAAGTCAGTTTCAATCATAAATATCCTCCCGAGCTCTACAAGTGACGTAGACACTACAGAGCATCCACATAAGTCGTTCTTTCTTTAGAATTATTACAATGTTATGTGTCAACAGTACTTGGTGTCCTCCGGAAGCGACTACAACCTACCCTAGGAGAGCCGTCCAGACCCAGTGATTCTTTAAGTAATTTGTTAATTTCACCATATTGTGTCATGCGTATTTCAGCATAGTGGTTGAGGCAGTTCCCTGTACGCAGGTGCACGACCTAGCACCCACGGGAGGCAGTATACATTAGGTGCGCACCACAACTACTACCTCCATCTCTTAACGAGTGCTAGAAGAGTGGTAAAGGTGCTCCTTTATGGTGCCGCAGCTGCTGGTTGAAATTGGCGGCTGCTGCGGCCGCGGTGTATTGAGTTGGGTAGTGGAAGGCCGCAGCCGCAGTTTTCATACTCTCCACTGGGAAGTGCTGACTGCTCATCAGCATCTCACTGCCACTCATCATGGTGCTGTAAATAAGTGAAAGTCAGTCGGTGCTCAAGTTATAACAAATTATTTCAAAATATAATTTAACTCGTGATAATATATTTGTAGTGATGTTGCAACACAATATGGAACATGAATGATGAGGGAGAACACTCGATGTATAAAGTATAACTGAGTAGCTGTGCAAGGAGAGTGACTGAGCGCAAGACAGCATGGAATAGTGTTCACGGTTGTACAAGAACAGAATGTACATAAGTGAAAAGATGTCAATACATATTATTATTATTTTTATTTATTTATTATTATTATTATTATTATTATTATTATTATTATTATTATTATTATTATTATTATTATTATTATTATTATTATTATTATTATTACTACTACTACTACTACTACTACTACTACTACTACTACTACTACTACTACTACTACTACTACTACTACTACTACTACTACTACTAATACTATTACTACTGGAACATCAGTTAACATTGTAGTGGTCATACAGCGCCTGGGGAAATGAAAGGTAATAATTTTTGACCCAAGGAAGGAGAGGACTCCTCCAATTTCTTGGAATCAGAGGTTTTCACACCATCATATCACCCCTCGTTGCAGGGGTGTTAATATGTAAAACATGGATGGAAGTAACTACGAACCTGAAGACACCTTGTTTGGGTACACATTATCAACATAAACACGGTGGTGTCACAGACCTGTAGTTGTCGTAAGGGATGTGGTGTGCGTGGTGGTGGTGGGAAGCCCAGGTGTCGCCAGACTTGAGAGCTGGAGACCAAGTGTCACCGTGCAGGTGCTGGTGGTGGTGTCCGCCTGACGTCGCCGCCAGACCGTTGGCGGAGGCGGCGGTATAGTCGGAGGCCGAGCCTCCGTGAGTGCCCAGGAGACCAGCAGAGCCAGACCCACAACCTCCTGTTGGTTAACCTCACATTACTCTGCTGGCTCCCTACTTACTGGGATTTATGTCAAGCAGTATAAGCAATAGGAATTCAGGGGTTATACTACATTAGTGAGGCCTCGTTCAGTTCTGGCCTCCATATTACAGAATGGATATAAATTCACTAGAAAACATTCAAAGAAGAATGACAAAATTAATCTATTGCATAAGAAATCTTCCATACGAAGATTGAAATCTCTTCAACTACATTAAGGGGAGACATGATTCAAGTGTATAAGTTGATGATGGGAATAAACAAAGATATAAATAAGATCCCGAGGATATCCCTCTTAGAAAAAAACTCGAAAAATGGATTCAAATTGGATAGGTTTAGATTTAGAAACTATATAGAAAAGTATTGGCTTGGAAATAGAGTAATCGATGAGTGGAACATTCTGCCTAGTAGGGTTATTGAGAGGCTTCAGACATAGGTTAAATAAATGAGTCAGAAAGGTTGGATATGAGTGGAACTTGTACAAGACTTAGTAAGCTTATTCCTTAGGTACCACTGAAAAAAGGTTGTTTAAATATTTTTGTTAGTGTGGGTTTGAGAAAAATTTGCCTAATATGGACCAATAGGCCTACTACAGTGTTCCTTTCTACATTCATTGTAATTCAAAATTCTTACTTACACTCACTTATGTGACTGTTGTAAAAATTGCTCATATTGTTATTACCTCACTAATTCCTTAATTAGTTCTATGTTTTGCCTGCAATTTTCTTATTATAAGACACTTTCTGCATGTACACCTAATAGTCATATTCACCTTTGTAAAACATTGTATCATGTGAACTAAAGTATTATTTGTTGTTATTAATATATTATTGTTATTATTATTATTATTATTATTATTATTATTATTATTATTATTATTATTATTATTATTATTATTATTATTATTATTATTATTATTATTATTAGCCTTCTCATAGACTGAAGCAGTGAGTTCCAAAGTTCAGTTTGTCTAGAGGTCAGTAAGTTTCAAACTTTAGTTTGGTTTAGAAAGACATGTAAGCAAACACTAGAAAACGTTTCGGTCCTGGGACCTTGATCACTTCTAACATACAGAGGTAGAAAGACATTATATTTAGGCGGAGAGTGAGGTGTGAGTGACGCATGGTGACCTGAAGAGTGAGGTGTGAGTGACGCATGGTGACCTGATGAATGCCATGTTGGGATGAGGACGGGTAGACGATGAGATCATGTGACTCCTGTGTTGTTGGGTTGGTGGTGCTTAAGTATCATGTATGCTAATGTTTTTGAAATTTTGTAGCTTCCAGTGTTACATTCTATTGTGTCGGTGGCGGCAATTAGCGAGGCACGACTCGTCCTCATGGGACAAGACCTTAGACGCCGACGATGTCTGGAAGTCTCGCTAATCGCCGTCACCGACACAATAGACACTGGAAGCTACAAAATTAGGTGTGATCTGCAAACCCCCCAAATCTAGATAGTGATCTGGCAAATATTTTTGGAACAAAATTATTTTGTCATCTAGATTTGAAAATATTGCTAATGGGAGATTTTAACTTTAGCCAAACTGACTTATATACCTCTCCTTCCGACAGTATATAAATCTCCACACTGTCGCTTGGTCTTCAGACTGTTTCAGACTATGGAACAGAACTCTTCTCCAGGCTGAGGGACTGACAACCTCAAGTCTACGACTTTAAGGGTGATGGACTGATTACTTCGTCTTCACATCTCTATTGTTCCTGCCTGCTTAATGTACTCGACTGAAGAAGCCTACTGTGTAGGCGAAACGTTTCGGAATAAAGTTGCCTAACTGCTGCCTATGTGTCTTACCTTCAATCAAGTTCACAGTTTACCATGAAATGGATAACAAACTACTATTCTTAGGTGGGTTTTGACCTATGAGGTTTTTCTCCCTGGGTTTTTATCCTTCCCTCGTGGGCCATTAGTACTCCAGCACTGTTTCTTTTTGTTTTTAATGGCTTGTACTTAGACCATCTTCACTGCCACTACTACTAACATTACTACTACTACTACTACTACTACTACTACTTATTCTATTATGTTACTACCTCCTGTAGTCCTACTACTTCCGGCTCTGCATCCCCCCTTTGGTATATATACTATATACTAGTTCCCTTTCTTTGTCACTTGTGTGTGACTAGTTAATGGTACAAGTCAGACCAAAACATGGATGTAAGTTTCATCATCTATGTGCTGGTTATTTGTGTACAATCATCTGTGTTGTCGTACTTGTGTACAATCATCTGTGTTGTCGTACTTGTGTACAATCATCTGTGTTGTCGTACTTGTGTACAATCATCTGTGTTGTCGTACTTGTGTACTATCATCTGTGTTGTCGTACTTGTGTACTATCATCTGTGTTGTCGTACTTGTGTACAATCATCTGTGTTGTCGTACTTGTGTACAATCATCTGTGTTGTCGTACTTGTGTACAATCATCTGTGTTGTCGTACTTGTGTACAATCATCTGTGTTGTCGTACTTGTGTACAATCATCTGTGTTGTCGTACTTGTGTACTATCATCTGTGTTGTCGTACTTGTGTACTATCATCTGTGTTGTCGTACTTGTGTACAATCATCTGTGTTGTCGTACTTGTGTACAATCATCTGTGTTGTCGTACTTGTGTACAATCATCTGTGTTGTCGTACTTGTGTACAATCATCTGTGTTGTCGTACTTGTGTACAATCATCTGTGTTGTCGTACTTGTGTACTATCATCTGTGTTGTCGTACTTTGTGTACTATCATCTGTGTTGTCGTACTTGTGTACAATCATCTGTGTTGTCGTACTTGTGTACAATCATCTGTGTTGTCGTACTTGTGTACAATCATCTGTGTTGTCGTACTTGTGTACAATCATCTGTGTTGTCGTACTTGTGTACAATCATCTGGTTTGTCGTACTTGTGTACTATCATCTGTGTTGTCGTACTTGTGTACTATCATCTGTGTTGTCGTACTTGTGTACAATCATCTGTGTTGTCGTACTTGTGTACAATCATCTGTGTTGTCGTACTTGTGTACAATCATCTGTGTTGTCGTACTTGTGTACAATCATCTGTGTTGTCGTACTGTGTACAATCATCTGTGTTGTCGTACTTGTGTACAATCATCTGTGTTGTCGTACTTGTGTACAATCATCTGTGTTGTCGTACTTGTGTACAATCATCTGTGTTGTCGTACTTGTGTACAATCATCTGTGTTGTCGTACTTGTGTACAATTATCTGTGTTGTCGTACTTGTGTACAATCATCTGTGTTGTCGTACTTGTGTACAATCATCTGTGTTGTCGTACTTGTGTACTATCATCTGTGTTGTCGTACTTGTGTACAATCATCTGTGTTGTCGTACTTGTGTACAATCATCTGTGTTGTCGTACTTGTGTACAATCATCTGTGTTGTCGTACTTGTGTACAATCATCTGTGTTGTCGTACTTGTGTACAATCATCTGTGTTGTCGTACTTGTGTACAATCATCTGTGTTGTCGTACTTGTGTACAATCATCTGTGTTGTCGTACTTGTGTACAATCATCTGTGTTGTCGTACTTGTGTACAATCATCTGTGTTGTCGTACTTGTGTACAATCATCTGTGTTGTCGTACTTGTGTACAATCATCTGTGTTGTCGTACTTGTGTACAATCATCTGTGTTGTCGTACTTGTGTACAATTATCTGTGTTGTCGTACTTGTGTACAATCATCTGTGTTGTCGTACTTGTGTACAATCATCTGTGTTGTCGTACTTGTGTACAATTATCTGTGTTGTCGACTTGTGTACAATCATCTGTGTTGTCGTACTTGTGTACAATCATCTGTGTTGTCGTACTTGTGTACTATCATCTGTGTTGTCGTACTTGTGTACAATCATCTGTGTTGTCGTACTTGTGTACAATCATCTGTGTTGTCGTACTTGTGTACAATCATCTGTGTTGTCGTACTTGTGTACAATCATCTGTGTTGTCGTACTTGTGTACAATCATCTGTGTTGTCGTACTTGTGTACAATCATCTGTGTTGTCGTACTTGTGTACAATCATCTGTGTTGTCGTACTTGTGTACAATCATCTGTGTTGTCGTACTTGTGTACAATCATCTGTGTTGTCGTACTTGTGTACAATCATCTGTGTTGTCGTACTTGTGTACAATCATCTGTGTTGTCGTACTTGTGTACAATCATCTGTGTTGTCGTACTTGTGTACAATCATCTGTGTTGTCGTACTTGTGTACAATCATCTGTGTTGCCGTACTTGTGTACAATCATCTGTGTTGTCGTACTTGTGTACAATCATCTGTGTTGTCGTACTTGTGTACAATCATCTGTGTTGTCGTACTTGTGTACAATCATCTGTGTTGTCGTACTTGTGTACAATCATCTGTGTTGTCGTACTTGTGTACAATCATCTGTGTTGTCGTACTTGTGTACAATCATCTGTGTTGTCGTACTTGTGTACAATCATCTGTGTTGTCGTACTTGTGTACAATCATCGTGTTGTCGTACTTGTGTACTATCATCTGTGTTGTCGTACTTGTGTACAATCATCTGTGTTGTCGTACTTGTGTACAATCATCTGTGTTGTCGTACTTGTGTACAATCATCTTGGTTGTCGTACTTGTGTACAATCATCTGTTTGTCGTACTTGTGTACAATCATCTGTGTTGTCGTACTTGTGTACAATCATCTGTGTTGTCGTACTTGTGTACAATCATCTGTGTTGTCGTGCTTTTGTACAATCATCTGTGTTGTCGTACTTGTGTACAATCATCTGTGTTGTCGTACTTGTGTACAATCATCTGTGTTGTCGTGCTTTTGTACAATCATCTGTGTTGTCGTACTTGTGTACAATCATCTGTGTTGTCGTACTTGTGTACAATCATCTGTGTTGTCGTACTTGTGTACAATCATCTGTGTTGTCGTACTTGTGTACAATCATCTGTGTTGTCGTACTGTGTACAATCATCTGTGTTGTCGTACTTGTGTAC